GGCTGTTTTGGGGACAAGGTCAGAGAGGCCAGATTGAGATGGTTTGGACATGTGCAGAGGAGGGATAGTGGTTATACTGGTAGAAGAATGTTGGAGATGGAGCTGCCAGGCAAGAGGTCAAGAGGAAGGCCAAAGAGGAGAAATATGGATGTACTAAAAGAGGACATGAAGTTAATAGGGATGAGAGTAGAAGATGCCAAGGATAGAGTTAGGTGGAAACAGACGATTCGCTGTGGCGACCCCTAACGGGAACAGTCAAAAGAAGAAGAAGAAGAAGAAGAAGAAGAGTCAGGCTCTCAAATGGGGAAAACAAAACCAAATAATGTTTTTCACAGGAGATGCCAAACGTAGTTTGTGTAACTGTGAGTTTTGTGTGCCTCTCTCTGTTCCATGGCAAGGGTTTTCTGGTCTCTTTGAAAGTCTTTTGTTTTTTGTGTTATCTCACTTCCCATTACAATAACCTTAAGCCTTGAGCACCTCCAGCGCCAAAGCAATGATCCTTGGCACACTGCGGTAGAATGACTCATTCTTCAGACCCACAAGGCTGTAATAGGTCAAAGGTCGTCCTCCCACTACTGCTCTAACCCGAGCCTGGTAAAGTCCTTGATCATTCTTGGAGTTCAGATCAACTAACACCTGAAAAAAAATTAGAGGAGCAAATCAAAGTTATATAATAAGCATAAGCAAAATAATTAATCTGTTTGCTTCCACCATTACTCATCTTGATCTCTCCATCTCAAGTCATTGTTTACCTCTTGGAAGTTCATGGATAGGTTGCTGTTTGGGATGCTTAATACCCAGCTGTAAGAGTCTCTGACTTGGCTGACTTGCTGTGAGAACTCTCTCACTCCAGGACAAACTTCAGGAAAAAAACAAAAACTTTTAATTTAAGAAACAACACTGACCCTTGAAACATATTATTTTGTGAAGCTAATGAATAGTTAATTTAGTGGCACATACTTTTCCCACTGGCTCCAGGTATTTGCCTCTTGCAAAGAAGGCTCCTGTATTTTCTGTGAAGACATAAAGTCTTTACCATATCTGCAGTTTGTCTGGGGTCTGCGGTCATCTCTGTGTGCTCACCCTCAGTGACTGTCTGAGCAATAGTCATTGACTGAACTTGAAGTGGTGACACTGAAGATTTTAAATCTGTTCTATCTACAGTGTCAACAAAAGAAAAATCCTCTGATGTGGTGCTCCATGTTACATCAGGAAAGGCATCTCTCCAGGACAAGGTTTCACTCTTTTTTGCAGTTTCTCTCACATCTTGTGTTCTTAATTTTCTCATTTCATTCGTCAGGGCTGTGAGAAGTGACCAAGGCTCCTGGGATTCCTGGGAGGAGGAGGAGAGGGGACTGGTGTGGACTGGTGTTCCAGAAAAAGGAGTAGGCAAAGTTGGGGTGCTGGGCAGGTTTTTCTGGAGGTAGGCTGTATCTAAGTGCAGGATGGGAGGAGCAGCTCTGGAGTCCAGTTTGGAGCGCAGAGCTGAGATAATGGATCGATATTCTCCGTCTAGTCGATGTATTGAGGAGTCCTCTACCTGGAAATGACAGGTCAGATAAATCATGTGAGTCAGGCCCCTTACTTAAAAATAAAACGTATCCATGTTGTTGTCTGACTCCTGGCTTCTGAAAGTTCATGCAAGTCATGGTAAGTCAAGAAAAAGTCTATGCTCTTTGGTTAGTGAAAGGCTGCCATTAAATTACCTATAAACCTAAACATTTAATAGATTTTGACAGTTCTAAATTAATTGTGTCTTTTCATTTCAAGCCTCAGACTGTGCTGTGTATATTTCCACACAATGCAACATTCTACAACAACTTAGCAGTAGTGGAAGAAGTACTCACATCCCTTACATAAGTAAAAGTAGCAGTACCACAGTGTAAAAATACTCTACAAATAAAAGTCCTGAATTCAAAATAAAAGTAAAAATACAAAATATTAGTATCAAAATATAGTTAAAGTAGTATTACAAGTAACGGTAATTATTTTGTAGAACAGAGCATTTAACATTAATATAAATCTTATTGTGAGCATCACATTTATGGTAAATGGGGAAGAGGCAGTGTTAACTAACATATTCTTATAATGTGAATTACTGCTGGGTATTATTGATTGTGAGCATCACATTTATTGTAAATAGGGAAGAGGCAGTGTTAACTAACTTATATTCTTATAATGTGAATTACTGCTGGGTACGAAGTGAATTTTACACTGCAGATCAACAAAGTATTACAATTATACTGTATTTTTTGTATCAGGCTGATTTTGTAAAATAACTTAACTAAAGTAAAAATAATTTTAATGGGTATCGAGTTGATTTTGTAAAATAACTATTAACTAAAGTAAAAATAATTTTAATGGAGTAAAAAGTACAACATTTGACTAAAATATAGTATAGTTGAAGGATGAATTAGCATAAAATAAAAACACTCAAGTAAAGTAGAGGTACCTCAAAATTGTACTTAAGTACAGTACTTGAGTAAATGTACTTAGTTACTTTCCACCACAACATTTTAGAAATCACCACCAGCCAATGTACCTGGAAGAAGATGTTGTGCTCCTGTCTCCTGTCTGTCGTTGTGTCACTGTGTTGTTTATCCTCAGCCATGTTTCTCAGGTATTTCTCCCAGTCATCCACCAAAGGGCCCACTTTTTTGAATAAGGCAGGGGGAACCGGAGAAGGACCCTGCTCATCTGGCTCCACAGCCCCACCTAGCTGTTCTGAAAGTAATTAAACACCTGTTAGAATAGTGAGAAACAGCTTAAATTTCCCGATACACAAAGCCTGAGAAAGAAAGTAGTAGCAGGTAGGGGAGAGTACAGTGGCCATGCTTAACATTTTTTACCCATACAGAAGGAACAACAGGGTCTCAGTCATGTACCTTCAGTGTGTGGGAGAACATGGCTTATGCCCAGGTCTCTCCTCTCTCTGGTGGGAGCGAAGGCTGTGCTGTAAATGTGCTCCACCAGCTGAGGCAGAGTTTGGGTGAAGAAGGTCAAGTCAACCTTGTCCCTAATATAGTTCTCAGCTCTCTGCAGCAAGTCCAGCAGGGTTTGCAGGAATGAGCGCAACTCTAGATGTCAGACAATGAACAAAAGATCAGAAACATCTGCAATACGGCATCATTTGTTTGATATTCATCGAGCACAGCATAGCAAAACTTTGACGTACGACATTTCTTGAAGCGTGTGAGGCACTTGCCCTCTGCCATTTGGCTGCAGGCGCTGGCAGGCTGACCAGGGTGGCAGGTCAAGGTGTAGAAGTGACACAGAGAGCCAAACTCTGACCTTCGTTCCGCCTCCAACATTTCTGTTGTCTTTAAAAGCTCTGAGCATGTTGGCTCCCGTTTGCCAAGTGACTCTAAAAAGGAGAAGGACAGTTTGAATGGTTGATTTCATAAGTGATTCAATAATTCCATATTTAGTTTTTATGACAGGAGTGCACCCAAAATAGTTTAAGTTCCATGGTGTTTTATTGTTGCTAAAGCTCACTCTGTATCTCAGCCTGAATCCAGTCAGAGAAAGAAAACACCCGTGTGTAGACTCCAGGTTTGCCCTTCTCCCCACAGCCATCTCCCCAGGAGGTAATGCCATACAGCTGGAACCGACCTGAAATTTGGTCTTGGTAGATCAGGGGACCTCCTGAATCTCCCTACACTTGACAGAAAATGCACCAAAAATAAAAAAGCCAGTATGCTCACAAAAATTGCAAATTTTCTAAGATGCTTGGGTTTTTCTAAACATGCACGGCAACTAAAAAGGCATCAAATCTTTCACAGTATAAGTCAATTTGCTATCTGATGACATTTCCCAACTAAGACCCAATCCCAAATAATGTTTTCCTGCCCACCTGACAGGAGTCAATGCCTCCAGAGAGATAGCCAGCACACAGCATGGTGCTGGTGACCAGATCTTTGCCCAGAGCACTTTTACAGGTGCTCTGAGGTAGCAGGGGAACCTTGGCCTCCATCACCACTTCAGCAGATGGGCCATCTGTAGAGAAAAATGCACACAGAAATTTAATTGGGTATTGATAAATAGACAAATTTGCTAACTTGCAGCTTTCATCAACAGCACATATTCTGTTAAAAAGAAAACACAAAGCATTTACCCTTGCAAACAGAAAGCTAAGACATAAATAGCTCTAAAGTGAAAACCTATGCCATCCACTCACCTTCAAAGAGGGACCCCCATCCTGCCACCAGACACGAGCTACCTGTAGGTGGCTCCATACCAGAGGGGAGACACACCGGGGTGACATGTTCAGACAGGACCACTGGTGATGTCAGCTCCACCAGGGCTATGTCATTGTTAAATGTCTTTGGATTGAACTGCAGAAATAGGAGAACATCTGATTGATGGGTTATAAGACTGAATAACTTGGTACTGACTAACTGGGTGACTGATGTGTGATGGGAGAGATATATGAATCATTACCTTGGGATGAGGGATGATGCGGTTCACCCTGAGAACCTGCTCATCAGGGTCATTCTTGGTGATGTCAAACTCCCCCACTACGGCTGTCCAGTGGTGCTCACTACGGCTGCTGCAGAGGTCGAAAATGAAAAGTGAGAGGGGGAGAAAATGTAATGATCAAAAACCACCCAGGAGCTGTCCACCAGGACCCCTCCACACATCAGACCTCCATCTAGCTGCAGGTTGACCAGCCAGGGCCAGCTTCCAGGAGGAGCAGGGGAACCACCCACAATCCTGGAGCGAGGCTGTGTGATGTTTTGCACTTTGGACGACCTCTGGCCACACACTGCTACTAGGACAGACAGATGCTTCTGGTTATGAAAAGAAGTAATCTTCTTATTGTGTATACTAGTGTTGACAATTGAAGAAATTAGCACAAATGACAGCCCAGTACCTCTCTCACTGATTTTACTGACATGGAAAGTAGGTTAAAATGACAGCATGAATACTTCTTTGTAAACATCAGTGTCACCTCACCCACCCTGTGCATGTGCTTGTGTAGCAGGTTCCAGGTTCTGCACTGTGTTGAACAGGCTGCACTGCAGGACACGGGTGCTGCAGCTCTCACCCATGATCCTGATGCAGCTCTCCTTGCCCAGTTCATCAGGTGGGCATCGATGCTGGTAGTATGCGCAGGCCTGGCTGAGAGCCCAACTCCGCTCTGCTTCGTTTTGAAGCTTCTGAGCCCTAGTGATGACTTCACAGCTGGGCTCTGATAAGGCACTGGCCGAAGACGCTGTTAGGAAATATGAGAGTTAAAGATGTACTATGAAAGAATTCATTGGTAATGAAAAGTGTGACTCAAAGATGCTCAATAATGAAAAGAGAAGGAAGAGTAATGTCCTTACAGCAGGACCCAGACAGCTGTCCACAGTCTTGAAACAGACAGGGGACACAGCCCCGGCAGTCTGCTTCAGCCCGACTTCTCTCTGATAAGGTACGCTCAAGAGCGGACAGGGCACTGGTCATGGCAGCTTCTAGAACCACAGTACCCCGCTCAGACAGAGCTGTGTGAAAGGATGAAGGAAAGAAGGAGGACAGAAAGAACAGAAAAACTGAAATACTCAGAAAAACTCACTGACATGGACTGTACTGTTGAGACTACTCTTACCATAACTGAAACACAATGAGGTTTAGAACCTGTACCTTTGAGTGCACTCTGGGGCATCCTGTAGACATCTCTACCAGTTGGGGCGCTGAGCAAGCAGTCCAGTCTCAGAAGCAGCAGGGCCATTAGCAGCAGCATGGTATCAGAGCATCAGACCTCCACGTGACAGTGACAACAAATGGACTCACAGGAGACAAGCAAGATGTCTAAAGAGGATGCAAAAGTGCTGGAGAGGCTAGTCTGTGATGTCTGGTGGCTCTGTGCTCTCGCTAACTGTCTCCCTCCTCCTGACTCTCTGGGGTCTCTCCCACACTATGGTGCAGAGCATCTGTCTGTAAGTTTACTTAGACAAACAATAGGTGCTTGGAGTGGTCCCTGTTATATATAGAGTCTCCAGAGGAACACCAGTAAGAGAGAGGGAGAGGGATGGAGGAGGGTGAAATGCTCCCATGGCCAATACACAAACAGATGAATTCATTAAGACTGAGACAGCAAATCGGGTACAACTTGCCAAGGCTGGACTTTACAAAGAGGTTTGGTTCTGTGAAAGGACACAGTGGGAGGGAGCGAGAGAAACACACTGGGAGGGGGGAGACAAGGAAGGCAGAGTGATTGGTTGGGTGGCAGGAAAGGGGGTGTTGGTTGAAATAATTAATGGGAAAGGAAGAGCAAGAAAGTTAAGGACAGGCTGATGTCAGATTGGAATAGAAAAATGTAGAGCGGTCAACCACTGAGCTGAAGAGTCACAGTGTGAGCGGAGTAAACAGGAGATGAAGGGAGGCTGAGTGACAGACTGTGAGAGAGAGGGACAGGGAAGTGTCCGCTCTTCTACATGGCCCTCAAAGAGGGCATTGTACCGGCGGCACCCTTCTGAGGATGCCCACATCAAAGCCGTCCCCTGGGCATCACTTGGCCGCCACCTCTATTGATCACTTACAGTCTTTTATCCTCCCCATTAAAATATTGTCAGTTCACATCACTTTTATCTTTCTCTGCTGAACTCTGTTTTTGTTACATAAAGTACAAGAAGATCCATAGAAAATTATTCACTGAAAAAATTTTTAAAATGAAAACTTTTTTTTTGTTGTTTTTGAAGTGTCTCTACACAGCACCCGATGAAACTAAAGTAAAACAGATGATAACTCTGAGACAAAATGTTTAAGTCTTGTTGTTACATTCACCTACTACATCGCTGGTATGTGTCTTAAGACCCTATGTCTGGAATAGATTAAGGCATGTGATTACTAGCTACGTTGTAATACCATAGTGACTGTGTAAAGCACTATGACCAGGTTAAATAATAAACAAAGTTAATTCTGCTGAAAGCCAAATATTCTGAAAGACTTCTCCACATAGTTGTATATGAGGATAAATGGGGAGGAGAGAGAAAGTAAATATTTACATTACAACTCTCAACTTTCTAAAAATGACCATGTATTCAGGGCGCCATTCTGCATCTTTTATACATTTTTTTCTTTTTCTTTTTGTATAATCATTGTGTATTGAAGCAAAACAGGTTATCTGTTTATCCACATTTGAAATAGGCTAAAAAGCAAATGAAAAATAGACCTCACGCTGTTTTCTATGCCAGATTTGCCAACTTGTAATGCATGATGCATAAGATACACAGGTTTGCTTAGTCCGCATCACGTAACTGTAACTTTCTGTCAAAGCATTTCCATGTCACTTTTTTAACATCAGTAAAAAAAAAGAAGGATGCAGAAAGTGATCCACATATAAACCTAATATGGACAAAATATTCTGTACATTCGCCAGCAAAAAAACAAGAGCATGGTCAGTGTACATGGATGCAGAAAAAGTTTGTGCTGAGCAGTAACCTAAAGGCACAAAGTGGAGTCAACTTTGAGCCAACTAACTGGCTGAATGATAAGAGGAACTGTTGCCACAAGCCAACACTGACAACATACAATATGTGTGAGTGTGCAACTGTGTGTTTATGTTTCGAAGTTTGTTAAGCCAAGTTGGCTGAGTTTAAATCCTCTGACAGTGTCAAAGTGCAAGAAACTGTATTCATGAAAAGATGAGGAAAAAAGATAATTCAGAGAATGAAAAAAGTAGATAAGGAACCCAAGTATGAGATAGATAAAATAGAACATGTATGTTTCTCCTTTTTCAAGCATGTTAGTGTGTGTATGTTTTGTTGTGCACACAGTTTCCCAGCCCCTTCCATGCACTCGTGTTGCACAATGTCCTGGAGATCTGAGAGCAGACTCTGGTGGAGCAGAGCTGGAAACAGCATGGGACAAACGGGCGGCATTCTTTCATTTCCTCCATCCATTTGTCTTTGAAGTCCTTTGATTAATTTGCCTTCTGCTCACTCTTCCTTCATTTCTCCACCAAGCAGTGTTCTCTTTTCTCTTCTGCTGGGCTGTCTCTATCTCTCCAACTGGTAAAGCTTTACCTTAGCCATTATTTTCCAGTGGTGGCATCATAGAACCATTTTCACTCCTAGTCAAATGTTACTGCATAACCTTTATGGTAGCATTTATATTGCAAGCTGAAGCATTATAATAGTAAATATAAAGTAGATATCTAAACCAAAACTCCAGAAAAATCTGTCAGTTAAAAAATGACCACTTATTAATTGACAAATGGCCTTCCTTCATCATCTAATGTAGACACCTCACAGCACAGACAACACAAGTCATAGTTTTCCAGTGCACCTGTTTTTAGTTAAACATTATTATGACTCCAGTTAATTAGATTGTACAGGCAAAGTACTAGAAAGGAAAGGGCTAGAAAACATAAAGGCAAAGGGCTAGAAAGCCTGCTGTATGCTAAAGCCAGACAGTTTAAAGACAAATAAAACACTACTTGACAATAATCAAGATGTAGGTCATTTTATATAAAATATGATGCCACATACTTTTGTGAATCTACTCATTTTTATCTTATGTTTTTCTATTTTAATTGACTTTATTTATTTTCTTTTTTATTGTATTGTTCTACTACATTTTTTGACTTATGCAAAGCACTTTGGATTGCCTCTGTGTATGACAGGTGCTGCACACATAAAGTTGCCTTGCATAAACTGAACAGTCACACAACCCAACAAGAATTCAGAATGTGAAGATCCTCTGAGTTAGGAGGGAAATTTGGGGAGAAATGATAAACAGGTGTTAGTAGGAAGGACTTAGGTAACATAGGCCAAGTATGAGAGGTGGCCAGCTTTTCTGTCAGGCTTTAGCACATGCTGAGACTCAGTTAAAGCTGCTTCAGTAAAGCCGCCCCAAAGTACCTTCAGGTAAGTTACAGTTTTGTGGTCTGTGATTTTGTTCAAATGCCATTTGACATATGTAGTAGTCACTCTATAGTTGCTGGTTCTTTTTAGGGGAGCTGAGGAAAATAACCTTCCCTGACCAAAAAAAACTATCTGAACAGAGTAGCCAGAATCCTTGGACTGAAAGTAGTATTTTTAACATCTCCCCTTGAGGTATGTTACAAAGCTGGAATAGGTGAACTGTAGAAACATTCAAATGCACAACTGATTTACTTTGGGGTGCACAGGCTCATTGCTGGGTGTAGCTGCTTAAGTGGGTTACACAAAACATCACAATGAGAACCTCAACAATCAGGTTGAATAACACCCAGGTATTGTGTTCAGTTATGAAACCATGTGTCCCATTGTCTCAGGCAGAAACAATAGAAATCTAGGTCAGTGGGGTACGCAAGGGAGAAGAGGTCCCCAACACTTCAGCGTAGACAAACACTTGAACTCTGTGACGATGGTCAGACAGAAGCAACTCATCTGCATGGGCCTGTATCGGGTCATTGTTCGACATGTTAATTAGATCTATTATGACCTCAACAATGACATTAGTCGCCATTAAATGCACACTAACCACCAGCTTCAATAATGAAACACCCACTTTGCTTAAATGCGGTGATAATGGTGATGTGGTTGATTAAGCTTATGGAAACTGCCCAGATATTTCTTCCCCTCCTAATAATTAAACTATATAGACCCTTTGTTTTTTTAATATAATGTTATAATTTTATTGAATAAAAGCACTTCAGTCAGAGTAACATAAAAAAAATGTTAGCTAAGTTCAAACTTAGGCCAGAGTTGATATTTCTGATCATTAACAAGAAATGTCTTGTGTCCTCTCACCCAGCCTTAACACTGGGCCACAGTAATGCTTTAATGGTCCAGTGACTGAGACAAGAGGGGCACTGGGCCACAGTGATGCTTTAATGGTCCAGTGACTGAGACAGATCCAGCTAACTTTAAAAGGCTGACATCTAGTGTCACAATATTGGAACTTCTTTAAACAAGACTTCAGACCAGTCAGAGAGAGAACACTGCTTGGACTGTGCTCATTTGGGCAGTGTTGGGGATTAGTGAACTGAGACTGAGATTGAGATTGTTTATAATCCCAATTCTGAAACATCGAGACACTGTGTAAATAAAAACTGAAATGCTTTGGGAGTCTTTTAATAACAAACAATGCCAAGACATCAAATGTCAGTTATTTTCAAATTATTTTTTAAAATCTTATTTCCAATTTGATGCCAGCAATACGTAAAAAAAAAAAAAGTTGGGACAGGGTGATGCTTACCACTGGGAGGTGAGGAGACCAGTTGTTTTAGTTTTGAAAGAGGGATGTTTTCCTATTCCTGCTTGACACAGGATTTCAGATGTTTAAGAGTTTGGATACTCTTGTTATATTTCAGCAAGCGACAGATCTGGACTGTGGGCAAGTCAGTTTAACACCTGGACTCATTATGGAGCTATGCCATTGTAACATGTATAGGTTGTGGTTTGGCATTGTCTTGCTGAAATAAACAAAGCCTTCACTGAAAAAGACATATGGATAGAAACATATCCTCATCTAAAACCTGTACAAATCATTCAGCATTAATGGTGCCATCACAGATGTGCAATTACCCATGCTATGTGCACTAATGCACCCCCATGCCATCACTGGTGGCAACTTTTGAACTGGGCATTGATAAAAAGCTGGAGGGATCTGCTCCTCTTTGGCCCAGAGGACGCCATTTCCATGATTTTCAAAAAAGCATTTCTGACTTTGGCTCACAAGGCCACAGGACAGTTTTCTACTTCGCCTCAGTTCATCTTAAATGAGTTCAAGCCCAGAGGTATCACCATGTCTGTGTCTTCTTTATATACAGGATGGTTATCTTCTCTGCATGGTAGAGTTGTAACTTGCATTTGCTGCTGATGAGCCATTTTGTTTAGAATTTACGAGGTGTCCCAACTTTTTGGAATTGGGGTTGTAGTTGAGATTGTACAAGTTACAAAACTGGCAAGACAACAGGACCATGTCTTTAGACCAGTGCTTGAGTCAAATGGTCTAAAAATCTGTAAGATAAATATCTTCTCCACTTTTTTTTAGATGTAGTCAGATAATACAAAATCCAGATTTGTTTACAACAAAAATATAACATTCTTTGCAATTTTATCCATGTGAAAAGCCCAGGTGGGATTGTTTTATTTAGGACAAGTTTAGGCCTCAGGTAATGAACTCAGCTGAGTGGCATGTGACTTTTTTGGATTCTATTTTGTTATTTTGTATCATGTGTGGTTAGTTGTTTCTCCCTGCAGTAGCTTTGCTGTAGTTCAGCTTCTTCCAGTGTGAAGTAATTGGTAGCTTACAAAGCTGTACTTTCAAAGTAGCTCTCCTAGCCTCGGATCTGAGTTCACATTCAGTCTGGAATACAAGGATGAGACATGGTAAAAAGAATAACAGAGGCTTGTTAGGGTCAGACTTTGCTTCTGCTGCAGTGTTGGCTCAGTGAACTGCTTAAACCCAGCTGGTTGGTAATCTAACTACATTTTCTGGTGATTCTTAAATAGTTACTCTAGCTAACTAACAAGACTAGTATAACCATGGTTATAAAGAAGTCTTGTGGTTAAATATTTTGCTGGATAAAAGTACTAACCTAACTAATAGTACTGTCATAAGGAAAGTTATTCTTGACATCGGCTATGGGGGGTGCAGGTGCCTCTAACAAACAAAAAGAATCGAATATCAGCTGTTATGTTGAAAAGTTTGGACACACTGTCCCCTTCCATTTAATGGAATAATTGCTAATGTGTCACCAGTCCTTTAGGCTGAACAAACTATAGTTTTAAATGTCAAACAGGAGTTGGGCAAACAGGTCTGTCAGATGGCCTTTTTACTGTAATAGCATACATATTGATGAAATTGAGGCCACATGGTGGCAGCATGGGACACAGACTGGAAATAACTACTGACTCCCCCTCTTTTTATTTTTTTTAGGTGAGTGTTGCCTATACCCATAGTTGCCATACAGTAGTTTATCTACTGTCCATGTGTGCCAAATTTACACTTGGATTAGTTAGAATGGTACCAAAATTGCTAGATGCGTTATGATACAACATATGACACAACACAAGCTCAAGTCATGAACATTAGAAAAAGAGTTGTTGCTCCTCTCTCTGTCTGCCTCTGTGTGTATCTCTCTCTCTCTCACACACACACATACACACATCTAGAAGTTCTTTGTGAAAATACAACAGTAATAAAAGAATTCAATAAAACAGTCATCTTGGGTTATTGGATTTCTTATATGTTGGACTTCTGAATTAAAATTTTACTCAAAAATATGCTCATTTTCAAAAGCAATATTAGAATTACTCATTGTTTCCTTGGGTCAGACAATAATTGTGTTACTTGTTATACTAATTATCTTTTACATGAGTTAAAATACACGAGGTCAGTTACTGTACAATCCCTTCTTGTCTTTTACCAAACATAGAAAATGTATAGCATTGATTTTGAATGTTATCTTAATCTTGTGGCTAACTACAACAAAGCAATGGAGATTTCTTCAAAGTCATGGATCAATTTAAGTAAAAAAAAGGAAAAAATAAAACTAAATGATACAAGTGATGCATGTTTTATTCAACTTCATATTCTTGTCACATTTAGAGGAAACATAAGTTATGATTTAAAATAGTAATTATTACTATTCATTGTAAAAACAGCAGTAAAAATAACAAATAGTTTTACGTGATTTTTAAAAATCAATAGCTAGTCATGGACATATGCCTTATCATTACTTGCTTTCCATACTGTACATTTTTATTTAACTTTTTGTGCATTTGTACAGCGTTTCCCTCCAAGTCTGCATCACTGGATATATTAAAATGGAGAATAAGGACAAAAAGCTGCAGGTTCTTTGGTCTGACCTATCCACACCTGCTGCTGCTGTCTGATTGACCTGTTGGGAGAGAGAGAGAGAACACCCCCACACCCACCGCCCACACCCACCGCCCACCCTCTCTGGCCAACCCATTAGCCATGAATTATGATGCTGCTACCATCTCAGCCAATTGTCTGGATGAAAAGCAGGCTCTACCTCACTTACCAGTGTGTGCTAGCTTGTGCCTGGGCAGCAGGATTAGGTTAATAGTTTCTGAGCAGCTCTTTGGTTCAGGCCAGAGCAGGTAAGCAGATAACATTTCACTTATCAGTAAACGTAGGATACTGCAGCACTGCATTGTAGTGACTGAGCACAGAGTGAGATTTCCAAGACTTTTTCATTGGAATATATTGATTGTCCAATAGTGAAAATAAACATTATGTAGTTACTCCAGATAATGGTTGGATGTCACATAGCAAACAAAAAAGAAGAGAACTAACTGTTAGTGCATGCAGATGATATTCATCCCAAATATTGTTTTGTACTTATAAATTCAGATATATGACAATGATTATTTTCTACGTAGGGCAACTGGTGGCTTTGTGGGAAGAGAGAGAAACAGAGGGGGGATGTGTAGAATCTGTTACCAGAAAAAACTCCTGCTGTTGGATCACTGGGAAACCTGCAAGCAGATGTGATGGTGGAGTGCTACAGAGACCGGACACCGAGGCAATTATCGGACACTGCACTAAACAGTACAGTAAGTGTTCCTAGAAGATTATTTTGCTTAGTATCTGGAACTTGTACCTGACATAAGGGGACTGCACCGCTGTCTGGAGCCAACTCTTGACCAGCTATGCTACCGCAAAGCCCCAGACAGAAACCTCACAGAACAAATGCAGAATATTCATTATGTATGACTTGCATTTACAGCTGCTGTTATCAAAATGTGTCACTGGATGTTTTTTAAATATCTGCATTTGAGTTTCAGACTGAACTGTCCAAGGTCAGTATACGTATATATGCCTCATTTATTCTGCCCCATGTGTTAATAAACTGTAATGAAACCACACGGGGATACACGTGTGTGTGCACACATACAACCAGCTCATCTTATGTAAATAACTTATTATCTATGTTGTACAAGTTTTTTTTTTCCTCTCTGATAAAGCTGAACAGGCGTATTCATCAGCGTTGCCATAGGTGAGTCTGAGCAGTCTACAGAAGGGAAGGACAAAATGTTGTACTCCTACTTTTGTGTGTATTCTGACAGCATCGGTTTGCCCTAGTTTAACAAACCAGGCATTTATTTGCCTGTTATGAGCTGAGTGCACAGTAGCCAGATGGAGACTGTTGATCTTGGTAGAAAGGTCATTCATTACCTGATAGAAAAGATCATTACCTGGATCACAGCAAACACACACAGATGCGGGCACACAAACACATGGATGTGTGCATACACACAAACACATTCATATATACACACAGTTTTATGCAGTTACCATTCAACAGGCTGCGATGTGCACAATGGTCTCTGCACCTGCCGCACCTCAAATTATTAAGTTGCCACCCAAAACAGTTTTTCTAACAGCTTAAGTTATGTAAATGGAATCTCAGAAGGAAACTGATTAGTTGAAAGTTTGTTACCAAGTTAATGGTGGTCTAATTTACAAAAGAAAGTATAGTCTACCATTTTTTTCAGCTCCTTGCTGTTGGCTAAGAGTGCAGTAAAAGTAAAATAGTAGCAAACTCAAATTCTTATTGTATATACTAGGCACAGTGCACAGTGTAGGAACCGCGGACCTACAAAGTTAATGATTGACCAAACCTCTTTCATGGAAACTATCACATTTGGTTGCTAAGAGTCTGAGGAGAGGAAAAAGCTGTGTTACATGTCCAACAGCTGAAGTATACATATTAATATATATCTGGCAGACATGTACAGTTTACAAATGGGAAACAATGCACAATTTATATGCCTTTAACCAATGCAGTAAAAATGTTGTCTAATCAGTTTTGGTTGCTTGGGCCAAAACTTGATTTACAAAGTTCATTGTGAATGTGCACTGAATGGAAAATGAGGATTTAAATGCACACTCACATGTTCCTTTTCCTGTCTGCTCAGACCGTTTCACTGGGCTGTGAGCCTGTCTTCTAATGCAACCAGCAGAGTAGATACTTGTTTGCAACCCGAAAATATGGTGGGACTAAGAAACCGCTCCACATGGGAACCACTTCTACTCAAGGCCTCCTGCATTAAGTCCTGTGCCAAGGGCTGCTCCTTGGGCATCACAGCACACCTTACCTATGCCAATGCTGACACGGAGTCTGTAGAAGGTGAGTAGTGGGATGATACACTCTTTTAACAAATAAAAATTTGAATTTAACTACATTTTGATTACATATATCATCAAATCACACACAAAAAAATAAATAAAAAAGGAAAAAGAAAAGATTTTTTTGAGTTGGAGGAAAAATAACTAGGTAGCCACTTTACATAATTGACACAGCAATGCTTGATTTGATTTGATTTTTTGATTTGATTTATTCTTTCAAACATGTAAAGACAGTCAATATGTCAACACACATAATTCCACACATATCCACAAATACATTATCAATTTGCTTATACCTAGTACATGCTTGAACGGAGTAGGAAGAAGTTAGACTTATCTAGTCCTACCCAATAACATCATCTTACCATCATTGGTTTGCAAGCAGTATTACTACATAGAAAATGATTTTCTACACCACGCTAGTGATATACTAAAAAAATATTACAGACTGTTAACATTCTTACATAATTATGTACTTTACTAATTATCTTCTACATCACACAAGTAGCAATAGTACATAGTGTTAACATTCATACACCACACCCACAGTGTTACACCTGATTAATCGTTAAGCCTGTTCTTGCATATATCTTGATTGACACGTACCTTTATATTTATGTTTAAACTCCTCGATTCTCTTACTGTTTTTTATGTCCACACTTAAATTATTCCATAGTTTTACCCCACTTATGGAAATACAGAATCTTTTTTTGGTTGTACGTATAGCATGAATTTT